CGCCGCCGGCCTGCCCTGCTGTGTGCCCGCCCGCCTGTCGCCCATCTCTGTGCTCTTCTTCGACAACAGCGACAACGTGGTACTGCGGCACTACGAAGACATGGTGGTGGATGAGTGCGGTTGCCGCTGACCTGGGGGCGGGCGGGCGGGAGGAGGCAACAATAAACACTGCGTGGTCCTCTCTGCTGTCTCCTGGGGTCTTGTCACCTGGGGGTGGGGAGGGAAGCGGCTCTGTCCACCGCCACCCACCACCAGGCTGGCGGGTGGGGAGGGGGGTCCTACAGCGCCACCACCGGCCCAGCCCTCCCAAGCTTCGTATTCGGCCCAACAGTCTAATGCAGCTGGACGCTGAGCAATGCCCCTGCACAGACCCAGACGCTGCTCACAGGAGGGGCCCAGGGTCCCCTTTTCCAGTCCCTGCTGTGCAGGTTTGGCGTCTCAACTTTGCCATCAAGGTGGCCCCAGATCCCCTGCCCCCAACCAGCCAGACCCCTAGACCAAGTGCTCTGCAGTTCCCCTGTAGTTATCCAGACCCGGTGTGAAAGCAAGAGCGGTTTATTAAGATTTTACAGGTGACAAAAGAGCTTAAAACAAAAGACCAAAAATCAAAAGTTACATTGCCTTGGTACAGATGCTCCTTGATTTGGAAAACTCATAGTAACTGCTGCTAAGGTGGAGGAAAAAAGCAAACAGCACAAAGTGGAAGCAAAGCATTCCAAGGAACAGAACAGGGTGGGTGGGTGTGTCACCCATGGGGACGGCGCACAAGGGGTCATAGCGAAAACCTATCCAACTCTATGCAGCTACCAAAAGAAGTGGGAACCGAAAGCCCTACAGCAATGGTAATAAATAAGAGACCTTGCCAGAAAGGTGGCCTGTGTGTCTCCATTTCTCCCATGTACCAGCTGGAATCTGGAGACTTTGGGATGAGGGCCAGTGTAGGGCACATGGGGGGATACTGGGGTTCAGGATCATCAGGGCCTGGGTAGGCAGGGTTAAGGTTAGACGGTCCCCAACTAGGTCCCACCAGGGAGGCTAATTCTCCACCATGGTGTGCAAACAGCTGAGGTGGCTCCACCAGCTAATTACTACTCCCAAGTTGCAACCCAGACACAGGTAGATGCTTCCCTGTACCACCTGATGTGACAAACTCCAAGCCCTTCGGCACACAACTTATTTCTGAAACTTATTCCTGCCCTCACCCCTGCCCAAGGCAGAAACAACCCCACCTCACTGAAGCTATGCCCACAGTAGGAGGGCTCCAAACTAAGGGGGTAGGGTGGGGAACAAGGAGCGATTAGGCGCTTGGTGAGTCTAACCCGCCACAGGAACCACGGGCGCCTCCCTGGGGACAGGGACAGATCCTCCTGGCTGCCGCTTTCCACCAAATCCTTAGGAAGGACCCCGGGGAAGAAGCCACTGGCCAGGGAACAGCCACCTTCCGGTCCTCTGACCTCACGGCCAGTCCTGCCTGAGGCCCCTCCCAGGGGGCCGAGTCCACAGTGCACGGGATGCGCTCTGCTTCTTGGAGTCCAGCAGAGACATGGAGCCGCCTGCCTGGCCCGGGACTGTGCTCCCTTACCGCCCTGATGCACAGGGAGAAGCCGCTGGAAGCTAAAACTGAAAAAAAAAAAAAAAAATCTTCCTCCGGTCACAGGTGTTCATCCTAATCTTGAGTTGGGTTGGCTCGTTTAAACTTCATTTCTGGAAGCTTCTCACATCTCCCAGGTCCACCACTAAGATTTGAGAGACAAACTCAGAAAAGTATATTTTTCAATTCGCCTTTTAAAGAATCTTTAAAAAACAAACAAAACCCCCAAACACGTATTTTCTTTAAATGAAAACCTGACAACACAGGCAGTGTGACTGCGGCGGTATCAGAGCCGGTGTGGACGGAACCCGCACTTGGAGGGGCTCTCCCGGCATGGCCGCCACCTGCAAGGAGCCTGCTCGGCACAGAAATGCGAAGTTTTTTCCAGCTAAAACGTAGTCCCCTTTCAATAAAAGAGAAAAAGAAAGAAAAGAACAGAGGAAAGGGCTACTCTGAGATGAGGGTCTTCCTCCCTCCGCCCTGGTCGCAGACCCAGGTGTGGACGCGGCGAGCGCGGGGCTCCTCAGCGAGCGGGGCTGGCGGGCTCGCTGGCGGGCGGTCCTCGGCCGCCCCACCTCCCGCTCTCCCTTCTCCTTCTCCTCGCCGCCACGTGCCAGCAGTGGGCGCTCGCTCTGTCTCGGGCTCCTCTCTCCCTCGGGTGCTCCTCTCCCTCTCCTGTTGCTCACAGTGGTGCTTCAGTTTTAGCAGTGGAAAACAGGTATCCATTTATTTTTATTTTTTATTACCCAGAATAAGATGCTGATGGACTAAGCCACGTAGCTTAGCTCTTCCGCCGCCACCTGTCGGGGAGGGAGGGAGGGCGAGAGGCTTCAGAGAAGGTGGGAGCCTCAGGGAGCTCCCAGGCCTGGCCTGGAAGACATGGGGCTTTCTCCCCGACTCCACTCTGCACCTGTGTCCTCATGTGTGAAATGGGGCCTCAGATGTCAACCAGGTGCCCAGACCAGTAACTTTCCACCCAGAGAGAAGAAGGCTGAGAGCTAAGGGTACTGAGCCTTAGCACAGTATGAAGAGTGCTAATCCTTCTCCTAGCAGCACAGCAGCCCACTTTCCTGCACAGAGACAGGTGAGGGGCAGACCTCAGGCCTACACTCACCCTGCTCCAGCCACACACATCACGGGCGGGGAACCACACAGCAAGGCCCTCACAGGCACCTACAAGCACCTCCAGAGGTGCCCGTGTACCAGGGAGCTGGGACCCTTGCCACCCTCATGAGCTCCCCTGTTGGGGCAAGAAGTGTGTCCGCCTCCTCCCTGCCTACTCGGGTGGCTGGGAAGCCCCGACATCCACCCCTTTCTCACTAAGCTCTAGGACCCTCTCCAGAGAGGATCATGTACAGGAGGTGTGCACGAAGCTCACGTCCCTCTGACAATGTGAGCAGAGGTGCAGAAACCCAAAGTGACAGGTGCCAGGATGAGCTGGCCCCTCAGGGACTTGAGGCTCCCACCACGTTTCCCGAATTTCCCTAGAAGCCCAGATCCCAGGGAAGACCTCCTCCAGAGGCTGGCTTGCCTTCTAGTACTGGGACAGCCCCGTCACTCCGCCGTGCTGGTACGCCCGCTCTCCCTGGTATGTGGAGTCTTGTGACAGCGCCACATCAATCTGTGACTTAAACTCATCTCCAAGGTAACTGTCCTGGAAGACAAGGTTGGAGAGATGAGCACCCCGTTGGAGGACGTGTACTCATCCCCCCAGCCTCTGGAATCTGCTGTGTCCAGCCCCTCACCAACCCCAGAGAACAGTCTGGAAATTTACACTCAAGCCTAAGTGGCAGGAAATCCACACTGGTTACCCCGCCATTGGAGAGTGGTAACCCTGGCCAGCTACCCAGGACAGTATTGTGCATGGAATGTTCTAGACCTGTAGTCCCACTGCTATGGTCTTTAGGGGTGAGTGTCGGGGTGTCTGTGTGTGGGGCGGGCTCCCTGGGCTGATGTGACTTCCCTGTGGGTGTGAGGTGTCTCCAGTTAAAGTGCCAGAGGGCTCACCTGGGACAGCTCAGGCTGGGAGAGGCCGGGCTGGCTCATCTGGGAGGGCTGGCTCATGGAGATGTAGCCCTGGGTCAGGGCACCCTGTGAGAAGGGCTGTGACGCAACATCTTGGCTAGCCTGGCTGTTAGGGAGATTCGTCTGACTGGGCCCAGGAAGCCCAAAGCGGTTCTTCTGGCGCCCCCCACGACCAGTCTTGCCTTTCGGGGTGCCCCGGCCTGAAAGACAGCAGTCCAGGGTTCCTTGAAGGAGGTTCTGAGTCTCACAGACAAGCACATCTGCTCAGAGCCTGGATGTGAATAAACTCCAAGGCCAAACTGATCTTCCCCACAGAATGCTGCTCAGTACTCACCTGCAGCTGGCCCATTAGCTTGTCCAAAATACCCCGGCGGTGGCATGGGTGGCATGACCAGATTAAAGGGGATGGGAATGTTCATGGCGGCCACATGGCTGGGGCCAGCACTGATCATGCCAATCTGGTCATGGGTCTGGAAGTACATGTTTGAGGGCCGGCCTACAAGACACAAGGTGAATGGCAGGGGTCACACAGCATCCAAATGATTCTGTTGCCTGCCCTTCACATCAGCTGGTCTGCCCACAGTTGAAATGTCTGTCTTTTCCTGTCACTGAACCTCTTCCCCCAGGGAACTGAGAGTCACTGTTCCACAGGGATCCGAAAAACTGAAAATCCCTACATTTCTAATCTTTTTTAAAAAGCCCCTTTTATGGCAAATGTTATATTCATATTACATGCCACCGCTGCCACCACCACCCCTCCCCCATCAAGCAAGGAAACGTCTAAGCTTGACAGACCAGCAGATCTCACTGAAGGCAAAAGATCCAGGGCGGCCCTGGGTCTAACCAGACCCACACTGGACTCAGGGATGAAGGATGGACCCAGGAAACCCTCAGCTACTCGGCGACTCGTTGGATGTGTGATGAGAGCTCTGTCATTAAAGAACACAACCCCCAGTCTGAGCCCAGCAGTCAGGAGAACACTGGAGCAGGGAAAGGGGCCCTACCAATTTAACGTGTAAGAGGAGCAGCCGAGTGCACCTGCCCTCAGGAGTGGATGACAAACACATGAGAGGTTGAAGGCCAATGTATAACTCAGGCAGGTGGCACAGAGCCCACAGGCTCAGGGTCCCAGGAGGTAGGGATCTGGGGGGATGAATGGGAACCGTCCATAGATTGGCTCAGGGAAGAGGAAGAGTTCCGGGCAGCAGGAACTAGCCTTAGTACACACAGAAACCTCACACAGGAAAAAAGGGCGTGCGCCTGACCCTGAGGTCTGACAGACCCAGCTAAAGCTTCAGGAAAGCAGTGAAACCTGAAACAAGGCTGCAGGTGTGACCTTTCCACTGAGAAGGCGAGCAAAGGGCAGGCAGGGTTGGGTGGAAGCACAGGGGCAAATAGACAGAGCTACAGTATGTACTTGCTGAGAAACTACTATACATAGAGCTGTATTACTTAAAAAAAAATCTGGTTTTCAGAAACTGCCAAAGACCAATTCTCTGATTTCAGACAAAAGCAGTGGAGAAAGAACTCTCACTGTCAGACAGGTTTCTGTGGACTGAAGCTTGGGAGGCCACCCTAGGAGTAACCGAACTGGAAGCTGTGGGCATGGGAACAGTCAACAACCGAAGGGCCAGCTTGGTCCCCCACAGAGACTCACCCTGGCTGCTCCGGTCATAGACTGATCCTGGGATAATCGCCTCCCGGGCATCATACATGGCTGTTGTCATGAATCGGGCTCCCTGGAAAGGGTTTAGAGAAATTAAGTGAGGAATTTATCATGTCAACACAAGGAAGAACTTTTCAAAGAACTGGTGGCCTGGGAGATGGCCAGGCTGCACCAAGGACACCCCCGAGGCTTGCTGGCTTATCTGCTTTGGCCTTGCCCGCTCCTCCTGACCTGGCCTTTGATGCTGAATGTTTCTATCT